AAAGGGCTGCTTGTTAATGTCTATGTCACCCTCCACTAACACATTACTCCACATGGTGGCAAGGCAGCTCATTGAAGCTACTCCCGCTCCCTGTGTTTTAATCATTTGCTGCAAGTTGTCATCCGCAGAGGCTCAGATTCACTTCAAAAGACCCTCCCAACTTTAGACACCGAGCAGAGGCATCTGGGTTAAAAGCGATGTCACCTTACACTCAGCAGGCAGATGTGAAGAGGTGCCAAGAGTGAATGAGCAGCAGCTGGTGAACTGTCTCTCTTACTGGAGATGCCTCCTGCCCTCCGTCAGACACAGAAGCAGCCTGTGGTGACTATACTTCTGACTTAGACACTCCCTGAAGTGGGATGCATCCCTCTAGTGTGGAGTTTCCTATTTTGTTCATGCTGAATCATCTCCTGCCGTCCCTTCTTAGACCAAGCAATCTGTACACCTGTGGGCTGCACCTCCTGTTGCCGTATCCCTGCTGATACCCCTCCTGCACTCTGGAGGAAATTTCTTGATGCATCGATACAATTCCTTAGAGTGAAGTGGCCCTTAAATAAAGTAAATTTGGGGGATTAATAGGTGGAACTGACCTCTTTTTGCTGCTGAACACCAAGGAAATCCCTATCAGTGCATTCTATCAAAATAGCCTAAAAATAAATTATATGCTGCTTTTATGATGACAATTATGCAGATTTATATTATTATTATAAATTATTATTACAGTTATTTCAAGTAATTTTGGCTTTCAGTGGCTTACCACACAAAAAGAAACAAGGGCAGTGACCTCATATCTCACATGAAAGATAAAGACACATAAACTGTCTAAACAGCCACCTCACTACACATGGAGAAGAAAATAGTTTTTATGCAAATAGAGTCTGAGACCAAAATGCCTTTCTCCCTCACCTCCTTTCTGTTTCATGATTAAATAAATCATAAAGCTGTCACTAGAGACCACATAGAAGGAGGTCTCAAATGGTAGAAATGAGAGCTTTCTGCATTTGTCTATTTTTAATTTCAAAAGGTATTTGGAATTAAAAAAGGAAGAGAGGGATAAAAGAGCATAATGCTATTTGCATGCCTGATTTCCCAGGAGTACAAACAAGCTCTATGTCCTCTTGTAATAATACAACAAATTTTCAAAACCAAACACAAACAAATGAAAATTAAACTATTATCCATAAATTTAATTGAGATTCACATTGTCCGATGCTCTTCAAATCCAAATTACCACCAAATAGTGCATCTTTTTGCATAACTTAGACAGCTAAATCACAGGTGATAGCTTCTCCCCTCTCCCTTTTTTTATGGAGAGATATACTTTAGTCATAGTGCTGGCATTTTTGCACATAAAAGCTGAATAATAATTCATCTTTTTCATAGATGCACCATATCATGTTGTATAGTGTTTAGAGTGCAGTACAGAAAGTTAGCAGGGAAAACCAAGCATTTTTGTCTTGAAGAACAAACTGAAATTAAATTCTTCTGTCATTAGAGCAAATACCCAAAGGTAACTACAGTTGGTTTGTGTCAGAGGTCTTTGGTCTTCAGTAAATAAGATTAAATGCCCCTGTGGTAACACAGAATTCTCGGCAGATCAGCCATATCACTTTGGAAATTCAATATACACATATATTTTACCTAAGAGGGGTGTGAATTTGGAGCTGGAAGAACTAAATCACCAACAGTGTCTACCAAAAAGGAGCTACTCCAGAAGAGATGTTATGGAATAGTTAAGGTTTAATTTACAGTATTTGCATTCCAGACAACTTCACTGGGTAGTGAAGTTCTTAGTCCTTGATCTTGTAGATATTTTAGCTCTTAATTAGTGTGACCTAAGGAAAAAAAGCCTTTGCCTACAGAAAAACCTTTTTTAAGCAAGGATATTTAAAAGCACATACAGAGCCTTGGGTGTCTAAAGGGTTGGGATCCCTCCAGCCGCATTTCAGGGCCATGTTTGGTACTCCATGCTCACTGGGAATGTGGCAGAGATGGCTTTGGATGCCTTTGGTGGGAAAAGGACCTGAAAAGGAGTCTCCAACATGTGGGGTGTGCTGTGTGGGCTGGGGTGTGAGGGGACTCTCTCCACTCTCAACATGGGGACCTCCAGGGAGCAGGGCTTGAGCCATCTCCCCAGGGAGCACCAGTGATTTCCTCACAGTGGGAATCTCAACAGCAGGATTATTCGGTGGATTTTTTTTCTTCTTGATATTTACCCCTCTGATGACAACCATTACTCTCCAGATCTTCCTCCCCCATTTGTTGGACTGAACAAGCTCGGGGCTCTTCATGTCTCCTGTCAACCCACAGGTTCTCCATCCTGCTGGTCACCTGAACAGCAACTAAAATATAAGCCCATCTATCTGAGGGAGTAAATGTCTCTTTTCATTTTGAAACAGGGAGATGCAATGTTTAACCATGCAGGAGTAAGCTGAAGGGCGGCGTTTCAAAGGTGCGAGGAAGAAATGTTTTAGGCAGCTTGTATTGTGAACTAGCATGATGTTTTTGCATGGGAAGAAAGGGAAAAAATCCTTTAAAACCATGTAGGAACATCACCAGAGACACTATTTTAACTGTTAGTTAATGGTAAAACAAAATATTTCCTACCCATGAAAGTACAAATCATGTATTGAATCAGATTCCAAAGATGATGTAGTATGACAAGAAATGCCAAAAGTGATATGCAGAATGCTAACTCCTGTGAGAAAATAAGAAGAGTGCTTCACCAATATTGTCATGACATGAACTAGTCATTATCACCACGTTCAGTGAAAAAGCTCTGTTTCCACAGCACTTTTCCATGAGATCCTTTAATTGGAGGGAGTAAAAACAGTGGTGTGAGGAACATCAGCCGAGGTTTTAAAAAAATAAACAAATATGGCATTTCAGAGTGGGTTGTGTAAAAATTACATGCAGGGAAAAAACCAAAGTTGAACTTCACATACTTAAAAATGATCACTGCCACACGACAGAGGCCATTTTGCTCATCACATAGCCACATTTCAGCTCAGATCTGCAAATCTGACCATGGCATCATCTCGCGGCATCACCCTTCCTAGCTTGGTCACTCTGCTTTTTCTGTTCTTCAGCACACTCTGCGCCTTTCTGCTTCCCAAGCTTTCCTATTCCTTCCTCTGTCTCCAGCCCAGGGGCAACCCCATCCTCAGCTGTGTCCCCTGCTCCTTCCTCCCCCCATCCCCAGAACCACATGCTACTGTTCTAAACATCCTCCTCCCAAAATGTCAGCGTCACTCATGATCTGGGAAAATATCGAAACTCAGCACCCCCAAATTCACATGCCAACAGGAATTGACATCTTTCCCACATGCCTGTTTTTATTCCCAATACCTGATGATGAAGAGAGCTGGGTACCAGGTTGCTGCTTTGGTGTGACTGAAAACCACTGCCACTGTTTTTTCAGACAGTTGGCCACATCAAACCTTAATTTTGCTCCTTTGCTTGCTGCTGGTAAATTAGGACACAGGGAAGCAGACCACAGTCCGGCAAGCTCCCAGGGAATTTACCCAGTAAGGATTTTACCTCCCTATGGTGAGGTTTGGCTGCCCAGTCATTAGTGGAACCAATACAAAAAAACAGCAGCAATTAATTTCACTGTGAATTTACCTGCTTTTGCCAGCTCATTTGGAATATACTTAAGAAGACAAGGTCATAGCAGATTTGGTAATTTTAAAATACTCTTTTTTTTTTATTCCACTCAAATATTCTCAAATCAAACCCTGACTTGAAATTTGGGGGTCAAATGTTGCTTTTGTTAAGACTGAAGTCATTGAGAATCCTTCCACCACCAAATTCAAGTGTCACTGGCTAAAGCCTCCAGCTTTTATCATATCTGTATGAACTCCTTCTCCTAACTTTTTGCCTGCCATGTGATGGTTTATCATGGTACGGCTGCTTATGTATGTTAGACGGTCGACTCCCAACTTTAAAGGAAACTGTATGAAATACTGCCTACTTGGGCTTTTTCACACACACACACATATTCTCTCGTTGCACACATACAGGTAATTGCTTTTTTTTAAAACATATGGCTTAAGCCTATAAATCAGGATGGTTTAATTTAGAGAGTGCTGCTCATGGGCTGGTAGCCAGGCACTAGAGCAGGAGCTGGTGTAGTATGCAAATCCTTCACACACAGCTCCCTCAGCTCTGTTCCTTGGACCTTTGACCCATGTGGAGTTCGTACACTATGCAGAAGAAGGAATATTCAAATTCAGGTTATACCAACTCTAATATTGTAATCTTAAGGCAAACCCCCTCCCGTACCCACACATCAGTCTCTGTTATCCCATCATGCTGCTGGTAGTCTAACCCAGAACTGGAATATATTATCTTCATGCTCTCCTTTAATCAAGTCCCAAGAATCCTTGGAGGAAACTCTCTGCAACAGATCTGAACCCAGGAAATCACACTGCTTACTGAGAGGCAATCAAACACACAAGAAGGCTCCGGGTATTTGCATAGCTTCGTGTTCACGTGGGGAAGCCGTACACTCCAGGTGCAGCCACAGAGCTGCAGAAGGCAAAGCCAAGCCATAGCTCCTCAATCAGTGGTGGTGGGATGACATGTGATGTACACAGGCTTTCAACAGGTGATGAGAATAATGTCATGCACAGGATTTGTCTGCTACTAATGCATGCAAATATCTGATGCACAGAGACATTGCCAGCCTCTCCAACAGCTCCTGAGTGTGTGCATGAGCAACTTGGATAACAGCTCACACAAGCGAGGTGCACTGGCCGTTAAGCACAAGCAGCCATAGGCATGCTACTCTGAAGTTGAAAATTCAGCCTGTCACATATTGAAACCATCTGTAAATCCAGTGGATTTGCTGAAATGACAACTTATGCCGTTTCCATATTTCTGAAATTATTCGTATTCTTTAGCATGCAGAGGAAAATTAAGTCACATTTTCCTTAACAATTGCCGTTCCCGCCTTGCTGCGTGTCACAGCCCTCTGGAGTGACTTCGGTAGCACTGACCTTGGACGTCGCTGCAGTGGTATTACTTTCCTTACCACTCCCCGGTGCACTCTCCTCGATCGCTGCCACTGCTGGGGCTTCTGCCTTCTTTGCACTTGTTTCCAGAGAAACAGGAGGCCCTACTTTCCCCAACCCACTCACCGGGGTTGAGCTCGGACTGCTTGATTGCCGAGACTGAGCCTTATACCAGCTAGGGTAAAACAAGGGATCGATGGTTTCTGCTGTGGCCGGCACTTGAGTGTCAGACTCTGGGGTCTGTTGAGAACCACTTGGTGTCACAACATCATCCTTAATCAGGACAGATAAAGAGAAGAACAAGCAGAGTGCACCACGTTACCTTCCTGCCATAGCCACGTTGCTCTGCATGCCATGTTTCTTATAGCTCACTGCAAGGAGTAGATTTGTCCTAATATATGGTCTGAAAGAATTACAATCAAAACGCGAAGCCAAAGCAACTATCATTCGAATAGCACAGATATGGGGAAGAAAATAAGTTACTCAAAAAATAGAATAGGAGAGATACGCAAAAATATACTCAAATACATATACTTTGATACTCAAAAAATAGAATAGAATTATCTGGGAAGGGGATGCTGACTGAGATGGGAGTGAGCAAGCGGTTCCTTAATTCAGATAAAGACCCAATTCAATCCTAAAAATATAAGAAATTCTGCATAAGACCCTTGTGAACCGGTACCACCCATGAACGACAGGTGTAGGTACCTTCGAATGGCTTGTTGCATTTTGGGTTAAGAACAACAGGTTTGCCAACGAGTCTGTTGATATGAGCAGTCAGAATAAGGGGAATACAAAGACATTGGCAAGAAACATTTTCCCGCCAGCCTTGCTGTCAATGCTATAAGCACAGTTGCTCTGCCAGGAAGAGGAGGAGCTGGCTGAACTGCACCTCTACCTGCATCAAGCTCTCGGGGCTCACCCACACAGCACCTGCTATCACCACAGCATTTCTGCTCTGCCTTTCTTACACCAGAAGGCAAAAGCTGAAATACAGGGATCCCACACACCGCAACACCCACATGCCATGTCTGACTCCATGTCTGAGCATCTCCTAATGGCATTTTACAACTGCTACAGCAGCATGCCGTACCTTTCCCATTTTAGCCTTAGAAGTGAGGGACTTCATGTTAGTGGGCAGAATTGCTTATGCCTAGTTCTTGTTTGCATAAAAACCTACATCAGTTAGGCGACATAAGTTTAGTTAAGTCAGTGCAAATCCTCAAAAGACAAACTTTGGTTATATTAATAAAGCTTGGTTTAAGAGCATCTTCACAAAACTGGTGCAAACTCACATATCTTTCTAAATCAAAGCAAGAATGAATCTATAGTCTTTATTTTATTTTTTTTTATGTTGGGAGCTTGCTACAGTCAAAGATTCTTTATGTGCTCTCTTGTTTTCACACTGGCCTCCTCCAATATCTTCACAGCAGCCTTTACCCGCTCAGCAACTTCACTGGGTAAATTGCATAAGAGGAGAATTTGCTAAATTAATTGAATGTGAGGCCAGCTAAAGTAGCACATAAAGTATATTTTTTTATGTAAGTCTTTTAGAATATGTGGCAATTATGGTCTCATTCTAATCACATTCCTTAAGAAAAAGTGCTGGCCTAAATTATTCAAAACCTGAATCTTTTTGCTGCTAGGTCGCAAGGAGCAGTTTCCTCTCCTGTTTGGTGTATGACATCCCTGTTTCCACCTAGACGATATCCCTAGGATGACCAGGGCAGAAGGCAGCAAACAGCATTCACAGAAAATAGATTAGAAGTATGATCTAAAAATTGGTGGTGGAAAGCTCACTAAATCCAGAGGGAACGACAAATTCTCTTAGTATAAATATTTTAACAACCATTTCATTTATAATAGTTAGTCTGAGTTAAATCACAGCAAGCAGAACATCCATTGTAATGCGTTTAACTCCCAAACAGAATCTCTTATTTGTCTTATGTATCCCATATATATCTCAGTTTATCTAGCAGCGTAATTTTTTGCCTATCGAGCAATATATATGCAGGTCGAGAGCACAGTGTACAGTTGCGTATATGTGTACAAGGACAATAAACAATTTTGCTCTCCAGAGCATGGACTCCCTTAGCCACGCTCCTGACGTACAGTGCCTACAGGCCACAGGGGAGTGTTTTCTTGCTCTGCTGGGGTGCAGCCAGAATAGCTGGCAGGGCAGTGGGACATTGGGGGCACTCACCTGACCAGCCGGGGCAGCGGGCAGTGGCTCTGGAGTGGGTTCAGCTGGGGGCTCTCCCGCTGCGCTTTGTGATTCAGGGTCCTGCTGAGGTGGCTGTGATGCTCTCTCAGCCCCTTCCTCCTCCACCTCTTCCTCCTCCTCCCCTCCTGATGACTCCGTGTGGACTTCATCCAAATCTTCACCATCCACTGTCTCCTCCTCTTCCTCTTCTCCCTCCTCCTCTGATAGGACATGCATAAAAGGACAGGGCTGAGCACCACGTGAAGATGGCTGCAGTCTTTATGTAATTAAAAAGCCATTTACAATTGCACGGCAAAGCTACTGATAATCTGCTGCCTGGCAGCGGACACAGGCTGGGGAGAGGGCATTGGTAAAGAGCCTGCTCCCAACAGCCTGGACTGGGCACTGCTATGGAGCTGCCAGCAGGCGCTTCGCAGCAGGGAGGACACAGAACACACATGCTTGTTAAAATCTTAAACTGGCCCTTTCCATGGGAAGGAGGACAGAAAGTCCCGCCAATGCAGTCATCCTCATGAGTGACGTGCAGCACGGCCCTGCACTTTTAGGGGAGACAGCACCTGGTCTGGCACAATCTGCCAGGAAAACAGTCCCTCTTGCAATTTTAGGTATATGTTTTTTTTAAACACCATTGAAGCCATCATAATAAATCTTTACCAGGCCAGTGCTTTGCAATACATGACTGGAGGTTTGGGATACCAACCTCCCTAAAACCAGACCGTCAAACTTGGTCAAACTGTTGCTTTTGCATCATCTGACACATCCTGTTGTCAGCATTTGTGGCTTGGCTCGTTTCCAGAGGGAGCCCTCCAACAATGCATTTTCCTTTGCATAATCACACTATTCATCCTCACAAATGTCAGATGTTGTTCAGAGCCATCCTAGCACTTCAGAGAAATAAATTTAGATGGGTGCATTAACCCAAGCTCCGAACTGGCTGCACATTTTGCACAGGTTATGGTTCTGCCTGAGTATGTAGAAGGAATGTAGATCTGCAAAGTACGTAATGCCCTCGTAACAGAGAAATGTTTCTGCAGGCAAATACACTCCTATAAGCAGAGTGCCGAATCTCTGGTTCCGCATCCCCTGGGTGCAGAGAACACCTCACTGACTGTAGTAGCAGTTTCAGATGTAGGACTGAGCTCCCGATTGCTAAAACCCTTCCTAATGCCTTGTCCCCAAGAGGTGGGTGTCACATTCCCCATCAGATGGGGGGGGGGTGCCCAGAGCAGGAGGTCACGGTCTTGGCAGATGCGCGTGTGTGGCAGGGATGTGGCAGCTGGGGCTGATCACAGGGACGAACTGGGCATGAGGCTGTGACTAGGGATTGTCCCTGCCAGGACAAATCCCTGAAAGTTCACAGCCCTGCAAGATGGCACCTGCTCCTCTGCTGCTGACTGGTGCCACAGCTGCTGTCCTGCTACATGAACCCCTGGGCCAAGTACAAGTACGGCTAGTCCACGGATCCCAACCGACAGACCAAGATCTGCACAGCAGGCATGCAGGGTCCCTCGCAGGGAGCAGCCACGCACTCTGAAGTTAGTATAAGTCGTGGCAGGGGAGTAAGCAACGGGTGGCATCTGCATGAGACTTAACTGGGCTGAGAAAGGTAAATGTAAATGTACCAGCAGAATCCAGTGCTAGCAACAAAATTGGAGATATCCAGATGACTATTACTGCTGCCTTTTAATAGGAGACATCTGCTTATTTGAAACATTTATCTCCATTAACTTCTTGTGGCTTACTCTGCAAGGTAAAGCACAGGTGAGCCTAGATTTCAGGCTACTTTGGTAAATGTAGAATTACAACTTTGCATTATAGACATATTAAGCATGTTTAGTCATGATGTCATGACAACTGACATGACACAAGATGTCAAATGCATGAAAGATGATGACAGTTTTTGCTTCCCTCTACATTTCTGTGATCTTGAATTTCGATTATATTTTTTATTATTATAAAAAAGAGTTTTAAAAAAGTATCTTTCATAAGTACATTGTTTAGTAATAAACATTCTATTTCTTTAATGACTTTCTAGAGCAGACAGGCCATACAATAAAGACATCTTTTAGGGAAAAAAAGGACTTTACAGAATGAGATAAAAGCTTAATTTTGTGGTCCCTTCTCATGAGGAGTCAGTAAAGATCATGGGCTTAGGAAAGTATTGAGGCCACATAAAAGCTAATATTAATGGTTTCAACAGGTTATGTGATTTTTTTGACTGTGATGGATTTTTGCTTTTGCTTATAATTGATACAAAATGGTCTAGTTACACTTTGGGATGGAGAGAAATATCTGATTCAAGTTCTGAGTATTTTCCTACTCAGTATCATCATGTAAATCACACACAGCTGCAATTTAAGAAAGTAACTTAGGTAAAATAAATGACATACCTCTGTCAAAATCAATTTCTCGTATTATCTTTTCTTCTCTACTGAGGTTCACTGTGAATTGGTTCATATTTTCATACCCATCCTCTATTTTTTCCATTTGAAAACCTTTAGATGCTTCAGTAATTCTAAAACAGAGAGATTCGTTATTGGCATTTGGATTTGCAAATAAATCTGTAATTTGTAATTCATTATAAAGATCAAGAGTCTCAAGTTTAAATACTTACTTTTGTAGCAATGTTTTGGCATTCTGTGAAAACAAAAAGGAAATAACTGACTTCTTAACTGGTTCCATTTTTTCAGAGATTTTATGCATTGAGATCTAATTCTTACACTGGCTGCTTCTAAACACACTATGGATCTCATAAATGACAGCCATGAGATCTATGAATGAGATCAAATCTGGATGGCAATTAGTATACAGCTGAGTAAACCTTTCAGTTAATTGAAGACTTTTAAATTAAAATCTGAATATGATGGGAAATACATAAAATTTCTACAAAAATTAAATGGAAATATTTTTGCTCTTTTGTTTTGTGTATTTGTGGTGAAAAGCAATTGTTCTGTTACCACCTTTAGTCACAGTAACTATATCTTTGACTATCCATAAGGGCATACTTCTGGAGCCACAAAATTTTATTTGTCTGGAACAAATACTGTACTTTTCAAAGGCAATTCTTTAATGAAAATAAGGTGTTGGTTTTTGTGTTTTGGTTTTTTTTTTTGGTTTTGTTTTTTTTAGAAAACACCTTTCCAGCCTTTAATATAGAGAAATTGTAAACTCGCAGGAGAGAAATTCTACACCAATGAATTCAGTGAACAGGCTGCTAATGGTTTCTTAATCAGCTCTCCTAAGTTTATAGTAAGAAAACGGAAGAAAAAAAAAGATGAATTAAAGGCATAAAAATGTGACTTAGAACATAAATATTTAATTCTTGGAAAATTAATCACTCTGTCAATAGGCAAATGAAACCTATAACTCACAGAAGTTCCTATACACATATATTATAGTGGTGGGACAATAAAGATATGTTGGAAAATGTTAAAATTCCTGTTTCTTCTTTGGGGACCCGAAATTCATACACAGGATAGTATATTTCGGTGCAAATAACAAATACTTACGTTCTTGGTTTGGATACTATTCACAAGAAGACTAGTCATTTGTCTGTGCTGATGAAAGTGTTTAAAAAATGAATTTGTATAAATGTTCACTCAAAGATGACCAAACTCTGAATGTGCCTAAAATTAAGAAATGCTTAAATAGTATTTCAATAAACCCATCATTTTTTTTTCTATCTCTATTTATAGACTTTATACCTGCAAAAACACGGCCATTTCTGGCTCTTCCATGAACTGGATTCCTGATTCAACAAGCTTTGACACAGCTTCCAAATGATCCGCATACTTCTTCATCAGGGAGCGGACGTGTTCCAGTTTCTCCTCTTGGGTTCTAGTGATTATTTGTGTCATCTCATTTTTTCTTTCTTCCAGTACAGAATAGAGATAATCAAATTTTTCACACAGCTGCTCTTTCTGTCGTCTGCAGCATTCCTGTGAATCAGTTGGTTTATGTTTAACATGTTATGTTCTTAAAAGAGTTTCTATTTTTACAGTTACTTGGAAGCATTTTCATCAAAGAAATTCCTCTTTCTGAACAGTGCAAAGGATTCTGAATGACCCCAGAGACTTTTAGAATTTTCAAAGTCCAAGCTATTGGAACAAAAGTTTTAAAACTGTTCTCAAACTCTGAGTTTCAAGCCTCTGAAAGCCCCTAAACAGATTATTGTATAACTTGTCAGTCTGCTAAAAAAATTGTGAAAGGTATTTATGATGTCTGTAGTGAGACGTCAAAGTCTGCGGAAAAGGTAAAGAACCCCACCATATTAGCAGCTGTGTTCATTTGCATGAACAGAATGTTTTTTAAAGAAGCGATCATCTCAAATCAGCTCTGGAGAATTTTCATTTTCTACCAGAGAACCTGGAACTATCCTGGCTGGGCATGATTTTCACATACGCCCTCTCAGACTTTATTTTGACAATAGGTGTCCATTATGTTCCATTTACTGTGCACTGAATGAGGTAGAGGTACCACAAAGAAAATGGTGTGTGACAAAAACACAAAGACAAGAACGAGGAATCTGATTCCAACCCTACCTTCAGGCAGTGTTTTTCACATCATTTTTTGAGACACTTTTATTGTCCTTCCAACCAGACAACATAGCATATTTCACTGAGTAAGGAGGATGGGTTTGATGACTGCTTCATTGAGCGCTCTCTAACAAGAACACGCTGCACTTGCAAGGGAGGATTTATGGGGAGGAAATTGGAGACAGGTTATCTATAATGTCTGAGGTCTACCAAACAGAAGTACTTGAGTCATCTGTGTGCCCCAGGGCTTAACCTTATTGTGGTTATATCTGGTTGGGGATGGTGGCGGTTATTTAAATCTCTTTGCTAGGAACTGAGGCTGAATCAATTCCTCATCTTTGTCCCTTAAGGCATAATACTGAGATCCTGGCAGCACAGGATTATTAACAGTCCCACAGTACTTCTGGAAGTGATAAGACTGATTATTCATAGCACTTGGCTAGAGAGAATCCCACTTTTTTCTTGACTTTCAGCCAGAGCTCTTTCCTATGAGTGGTGACAGTCTGCTCTGTATCGTTCAAAGGAGAAAGCCTTTCAAAGATGGACGTGTGGCCAAAAATCACTGTCTACATTGAGGGGAGGGGAGTGAATACAGATCTTGTTGCATTGACCCAGGTATCCACCTCTGCTTCCCAGTAAGGAAGACTAGGCTAAACAGGCACTTCTAATTTAAAACTCCTTGCATGGGGGCAGGCTTGGCCTGCCCTTCTGGAGGTCCTTGCCACTTCCCAGAAATTCCTGATTAGTGAATTCTAGGGTGCGGATAAGGAGGCTTTTGAACCAAGTGAGTCATGGTTCCTGGGTGTCATTCTATTGTTCAGGCCTCAAATAATCTTCCTCTTGTCTTTCCCTCCTCTCTTAACTTCCTCCCAGTGTTTCCTTCACTTCTGCTTGCTCCAGGCTCCTCTTCGGTTTAGTCTACAATGACCTACTCTGAAACGTCATTCAGATCACTTGTAAAACAACCTTAATTTCAAGACAGGTGTGTGCTGCCTTTGCCATTTGGCACAGGACAAGTGTTAGGGGAAGAAGAGCAAGAGAGTGATAGCAGGTTGCCCTGAGAGAGCCTTCCCTATCTCTAAGCTCTAATATATAATATTTCCTGCCAGCAGATGTGACAGAGTTTGAACCTCAAGAGTGACAGTGCAGAATGGTTTCCGAACTGCAAATGCTGAAATATTTCTGAAATATTCTCTTTCTGTATACAATGTTCTCTGCCTGATGGAATTACTCTAATCAGATTCTGAGTAATGAAGAAGGTTAACAAATACATGACTTTCCAATCTGAAAAGTTCTCAGCCTTTTTGTTCTTTAAAGCACAGTTACAGCAAAAAGAAAGGGTCCTTGCCGCTGAGCATGAGTTGCACTGCTTGTTCTGAAGTATCTGTATTGACTGGACTACGCTATTAGCATTTGAAAGAAACACTGTAATTTTTCCGTCATTGTTTGACTCATATTGTTTACAGGGCTAAACAGTACTTAATTATTTATTATTGTTTTCCAGTATTTAGCTGGAATTTAGCACTTTATATTCCCTTTTTTTTATTTTCAGTATAATATGTGAATTTGGTCTACCTTTCAATCAGTTAAAAACTATACAAGTATTAATCAATTTTTTTGTTTGTTTTTCTGGCTTTTAGGGTTGGATAGGAGCAATAGCTAAATATAGAACTGTAGGCTATTGCTTACTACAGCTAAAAGGAAAATGATCATGTATTTTCTGCTAAAGCCGGTATTTATTGTTCCCTACAAAGTGTTACGCAGAGAGAGGAGACATTCCTTGGATTATAAGTGTTACTTCCATGTGTGCACATTTCTCAGCTCTAGCTGTAGCTTTTCATCTTCAAGGACAAACTGATGTCAATTCAGACAAAGCTCTTACGTGGTGGGAAATGTGATTTGCTTGAAATGTAACATGGAAGTGCCAAGGTAAGCTCTAAGATCTATTTTCTGCAATCTTTGACTTTAAAGGTGAAAAGGCTGTTAAAACATCTGAAGGTAAAATGGCTGCACTTTCTTTGGGCTTTGAGTTTAAAGGTTAGACTTTAAACTGAGTGGATGACTCTGAGGAAGCTAGTTTCAGAAACTGTTGTATTTATTAAGGTATTTTTAGCACAGTGTTTTCTCCATACTTCAGACTAGATGTTTGAAGTTTTGTCTCTGGTTCAGCCAGTTCAACTTAAATGAGTATAAGCTTTTGCTTTTGTATCATTCAAATTTCTGCAGTTAACCTACTTGAAAGGCTTGTTTCTGTCTGCAAAGTCCTGATAGCAGTTAATTTCATCCTTGCGACATGAAGGCTTCCTGACTACAAAGTTCTGACTGCTGCTAACATGCTCTCTCATTTACTTGGGCTAATGGTTTGATGTTCTTTGAACCAAATTTGGACATTTTCTGTTCTTCCTTGCTCTGAGGAAATAGGAGCCTTGGGCAATTGTGTACATAGATTGTGGAATCAACTTTTCTTACCAATTAAAATCTGTACATCTTGGATTAACTTCTTTTTCTCTGCCATTTCTCTTTTCTGCTCGAGTTCTAAAGGGTCAATATAATTCTAATTGGGCTGAGAGGGATGCAACTCCTTCACTAGATGCTTCATCAAACTCTGATCACAAAATCAATTCATATGAGCTCCTTTCAGCCTATTGCTCTGTGATGCTCAAATTGGTCAGAGCTGATATTTATATTTGCTTTTCTGATGCAAATCTCTTGGAGGAAATGAAAGCCACTTCTGCCATTGAATGACACAAAACTAATTCCAGCCCAGTCAGAGTAAGAACTTTACCAGAAAATCCAGTAAGAACCCAAACTCTTCCCTCCCATGAGCAACAAAACAAGACTCCTTAAAGGGCAACATAAGTCTATTTTAAAAGTACTTCTGCACAGAAGGTAAAGCAACCAAATACAGAGCTCACTGATATCCTTGGAAGCCACGCTGTGGCTACCCTGTGGCTGAGACTAAAGCTCTGTTCACAGGCTCTATGCCACTGAGAATGCTGAGCAAACGTGCTGGTATGGATTATCCTTACTCTTTGTCCTCAACCACATGGCCAATGTCAGAGGCAGGGTGCCGAGCAGGATGTATCCTTTGGTTGAGGAAGTACAGCTGATACTGTACAAAGCCACAGGTAATGGTTTTGCGAAACTATGTGGGAACGCATTTGGGCAAAGTGAGGTCTGTTAAAGAATGGTCATTACCAGCAGTTTAAAAGATGTGACTTCACACTGAAAGAACTGCATTTAAAGAGATGGTACCTACCTCAACCGTCTTGCAGGTCTCCTCCAGCTGCGTGACTATCCCTTGCACTCTGTCGTTGCTCCCCACCAGGACTGCAATGCCATCACTCAGCTCGGACTAGGCAGTAAGGGGAGAGCAAGCAGGAGGGTTAGACACCATCACACTTCAGGGTGGCACATCTAACAGTGGGGAGCAGGAGACAAATGAGCCATAACATCTTCTTTCCACCAGAACCATGGAAAATTGGAGCTTTACCTGCCCACACATTACCTGCTAGTACTTTGACATTTGTTTCGTCTCCCAAAACACTATGAAAACATTGTCATTTTGAAACTTTTCATGGAGAAGAAACTGTGGTTTGGAAAGGAGGAAGCGCTTTGTTCTAGGAGGTTCTTCCAGATGTTTTTGTCTGAAGTGCTGTTTCAAAAGCCCCAAAATATTCCCTTTGGGTTTGTTGAGAGAAAAGACTGTTTCTCGAGAGGCTGGGTTTTTTAGTGTCTCCATCTAGCCATGCCGCTGCGGTATTTCCCTGAGGACTGTGGCTCTTGGCCCTGGAGACGACAAGAGGTGGCCAATGGATCTGGAGGGACCCGGGCACTACAGACCCCCTGGCATGAGGGCAGTGGGGCCAGGGCTGGGGCTGTGGTGAGAGAGGAAGGGAGAAAAGGAGGAGGAGAAGGTAAAGGCTGAGCCACTGGCATGAGGGAAACCGGTGGAAGAAGGAAATGGCCTGAGTGTGGGGATGGAGATGACTGTGAGGTATCCTTAGAAGAGGAGAGACACAGAAGCTAGTCCCTAGGGAACTTGGTGAGAGTGCTGGGGAAGGTGAGGGGCCCTTGGCACATGGCTGTAGTGACAGAGGCAACCATGTCTGTGGCCTCCATAGCTTTGTAAAGGATTCTTTGAAGCATGCATCCTGCAGCCTCTGGGTTACGCCTCCAGTCTTGGACATGACAGCCCCTTTCCACAGGCACTCTGGGAAGGAAACTATGACTTGCAAATCTCCATGCAAAGGGAGTGACTGGGGGCATGGATTCAGTCCAAGAAACTTCTCCCCCTTCTCCCTCCTTTTTTGATTGAAAAGGATGATATGTAACTACTTTCCTAAAGTGACTTCTCATTTGTAGTTTCCACACACAAGCATCTGTGTGACAAAGTTGGAGGCTGGGATTGCAAACCTGGCCTGTCTGATTGCTTGCCCCACTGGGACCCTCCAGAAAAATGAGCTGTTTATCTCAGGAGGATAACCCAGTGAGTCAGGTTTTAAATTAAGACTGTATTAAAAATAAACAAGTCTTTTACTGGTGACAGCAAGGGCAGAGGATGTTAGGTACATCCTGTGCAGCCAACTATTGAGTATTCCTGCATTCACTTGCAAAAGGAGGTTTTTCACTTAACTTTTCTTAAAAAATGGGATGCTGAAAGGCAAAAGTGGCTGATAGATAACTATCTGGTTTGTAATGGTCTATTCTCCTTCCAGTTCATGTGCTGGAATTCCACTTGCTTTTCTGATCTAAAAGCACTGAAAAAAAGAGATTAGGAACCTCAAAAGAGAGGTCCTCAGCTTCACATCAAATCACTGTCTAAAATGTTTACTCACTGTACTAACAAAAATTGGGACACTGTAATATCTTTCTGTGTGATCTCTCATAAATTTACTTTCCTGTGTTTCTAAACAGTTCCTACAGATTTGTGTAAGCCTTTCACTCACACACAGGAATGGCAAAGGCATCCCCAGGCCCCTTTGGAAACTCGCAGGAAGCCCATGGGAATACTTTCCTGTTGATGGTCCTGTCAGTTGCTGGGAGGACTATGAGAAGCAAAAAGATATTTACCTTCTGTCGCTGGTAAACGTTTGTGAGAGGAGCAACTTGACAGTCTTTGTGGGCACCAAAAACTTTGCACAAGGAGCAGGTGGGCATTTCACAGTTCAAACAGTAGATATTAATTCTCTCATCTTCATGCTCTTCGCACATTGGCTGGTCACACTTCCTTTCAGGTCTGCAAAAGAAAACAAATTTAAAACAAGCTTGGTGCCCATGAGTTTCTGATGACAGCACTTAGGGTATCAGCATGAAATACGGTACATTCGTCTAGCAGTGCCCAAGGCTGACCTGAATACACAGCGTAGACTTAAACCTGCCACATGGGATGATTAAATAGACAACGGTACAGTTTAATGTCCTGACACAACAGGATATGATGACAATATAGCAACATGACTTCATATGAGGATGGGCGTGTGACTGAACCCTCACTCATATTTAAAAATGTAAATAACCTCACTAAGACTGATCTTAGACTACTTGTGTACTTTAATTAGCATGTTATCTAACATCTGTCTGAAATATGAAACATATGTAATTTCTTTTGGGTTCATCATGCAAAATGTTGGGCACTTGGCCTTAATGCAGCAAAGCTCTTTTGCAGGGGACTAATCTGAAGCAAGAGTTGTAGGTATTGATGGACCTTTATGCCCTTAACTCTCTATCTCTGCTGATGAGGTTTGTGAGGCCCGGGTCAGGACTGTCAATATCAAACAGGACTGGGTCCTTATGGCCTTTACACTAGGCCAGCAACCAAAATATGGTCTCACAAAAATTAATTTTAGCTGGGTGGCACATTCCTAACTTGTACAGTATTGAACTTTTTAACAGTAGGTAACTTGATTGTAACTGTCACCAAGGGCATGGGTTACACAAGAAGCATTCCTCCCCTGTGCTAAGCCAGGAACTGTTACCAGACTATAGCTCAGTCCTGATCTTCTCTTCACCAAAATGATTTAGCCATACACACATAAGTCAGTCCCTACTATTTTAGGAACTGATTTAGTTGTAGCTTCCTTTAAATGAGCCACTTAACTGACGTTCCTAGTGTAAGTGAAATCTCTGGTCCAGTCTTTGTGGGCAGGCTGATGCTTTTCTGAGCCCACGCTTCAGGCTTAGCACCCTGAGCACATCCGTGGCAAGCATGTGAGTATGTGAGGATGTGGTACCAGAGGATAGGGTCAGTAGATTGATGGAGGGAGTGTGCCTGGGGGTTCAAGCCTCCAAAGTTTGCCACTCCTACTGTAGCAACGTTAAATATTCCCAGCATAAGCCATTATCCCCTTCTGCTACCATCTGGAAGGAGAACTATGACTTACCTGTAGCAAGTGGAGCAATGGCATCATAGAAATATATCTTTTCATCATTAGACAGAAAATATTTTCCCGAACTATAGAATATAATGAAATTACATGGAAACATTCTTTTTAAAGCCATTCTGCAGAGCTCTGTAGCAAGGAGGTAACCAGTCACTCTATTCAAGTTTAAAAATGTATCAAAAAATAATTATTTTAGATTATATTACAATAGAGTTTTTCAATTTAATTTGGTAGAGTGGACATGGCATTTACTTTTTAATGACAAAGTACAGGTTTTCTCTTCCAAAGGAAATGGAATGTGATCAATTAGATGCATTTAAAAAAAGATCAAGCAACAAATAAAATGTCTCATGCATTAATATTTTTTAATTTCAAGATGGCATTGGAATTTAAAGGGTTCGTAAGGAAAATCTGTAATCTGCAATATAACACGCTACAGCAGAATAAAACAAGATGGACGCTTCTGAAGGAAGCCAGTATTATTTGGGTCAGATTTCTAACGTACATTTACATAAGGCACTCAATGTGTCAAATCCAGCGTCTTTTCAATGCTAGTCAAGAGAGGTGTGTCTCCACCACAAAAACTGCTTTACATTGTTTGCAAACAATGCTTTACATTGACTGCAAACAGTGCCTAATATATTCAAGTTATAGTGCACCAGTGGAAGGGCCCGCATGTGAGGGCAATAACAGACAATGAATTTCAAAACGATTAATTAAGCATGAAATAGCTGCTTTTCCTGCAAATATTTACAAGACCAGAAGCAGAAACTACCAGAATGTTATTTGACACTGGAATGGTGCCACTAGCATAAAAGACACATTGCACAGGGCAAAAAGGTGACGGTGTCAAGCAAGTTCAGCCAGAAGTAGCCAACCTTCAAAGGTGCCGCAAAGAGCTGGAAGAAACCTGGCAGAACTCCCTGAACTAGTGGGGCCCTGAAGGCAGTGACAGAAGACTAGAAGTAAACAGATCTACAGTCTCCTTCCTAGGCTGTGCAAAAGGAGAGACTTTTAGCACAACATTCCCTGACTTCAGAGGGGATCCTCTAGGTCTATGTTGGTGTAGCAAAGGTCAAAACACAACCTCTGAGTTTAAAATGGTGGCTGCTCCTGAAACAGGAGATTAAAGAGTAGCCGATAGGAAAATGACAGCATGGCTTTAGCAGAAGGAAAGATTTGTCACAAATGTGCTTGTGACCAAAGAAGTGGCAGGTTGCTGAAATGGCCTAATAGCTTTGTGCTCCCTGTGTTCGACTGTTACAGGCTTATTCTTTTCCGTTAAAATTGGGTTTGGACCTTAATGTGTGGAGTGTTGTGCATGTTTTATGGAAAGGAAGATTCTCAGCACTGGTAAGGCCACAACCTGGAGTATTGGGTCCAGTTCTGGGCTCCTCAGTACACGGGAGACATGGACATACTGGAGAAAGCCCAGCAAAGGGCCCTCATGATGATTAAAGGTCTAGAGCATGTCTCCTGTGAGGGAAGGCTGAGAGAGCTGGGACTTTCAGCCTGGAGCCTTTATAAGAGAAGGTTGAGAGGGATCTTAACGATGACCTTGATCTTATCAATACCTTCAGGTATCTAAATACTTTAACAGAGGGCGTAACAAGGATGGAGCCAAGGTCTTTTCAGTGGCACCCAGTGACAAGATCAAAGGCAATGGGCATAAACTGAAACACAGGAGGTTCCCTCTGAATATCAGGAAACACTTTTTCACTGTGAGCATGACCAAGAACTGGCACAGGTTGCCCAGGGAGGTTGTAGAGTCTCCATCCTTGGAGATACTCAAAAGCCATCTGGACTCAAAAGCCATAGTCCTGGGCAACTGGGTCTGGGTGGCCCTGCTTGAGCAGGAGGGTTGGACTAGATGACCTCCAGAGGCCCCATCCAGTCTCAGCCATTCTGTGATTCTGTGATTTGGTGAGAAAATGCAAAGTTGCTGGGCATATAAAGGAGGACACTTTAATTAAGGACATGGTAAGACCTTAGGAAAACTGCTGTTTAGTTAGAAGGCATGTTTTCCTTAGGATTTTTACAAATCCAGAAAGGTCTCTACTGAAATCCTGAATCCAACTTTGATGGTGTTAATTTATTGAGTACCCTAAGATAGCTGTAGCCCTTCCTGTACAATAACATCACCTAGTGCCTGCACCTAGTCAGGGGATGGAAAGAATCTGCATGACTGCATGAGGCTCAGTCAGGTCATTAGTGAAGATATTAAACTGTATTGGCCCCAGTATCAATCTTGGACATACTCCACTAATGACTGGCCTCCACCTGACTTCATGGTGCTCACCATGACCCTTTGAGTCTGGCAGTTCAGCCAGTTTTCAGTCCACTTCACTGTCCACTCTAGACCTTATTTCATCAGTTTGTCAACAAAGATGTTACAGGAGACAGTGTTGAAAGTCTAGGTAAACAACATCCACTGCTCTCCTCTCATTCACTGAGTTAGTCATCTCACTATAAAAGGCTATCAGGTTGGTCAGGCTGATTTCCCCTTCATAAATCCATGCTGACTATTTCTAATCACCTTCTTGTCTTTTATATGTTTGAAAATAGTTTCTAGGAGGGTTTGCTCGGACAACTTTCCAGGGACCAGTGTGAGGATGACCAGCCTATAGATCCCTGGATTCTGCTCCTTGCCCTTCTTGAAGACTGGAGTAACATTTGCTTTCTTCCAGTCCAGTCCTCAGGAACCCACCCCGATCACCATGACCTTTCAAAGATTATTGAGAGTGGCCTTCCAATGACATCAGCCAGCTTCCTCACCCCTCATGGGTGCCTCTCATCAGGATGTCAATTTTTTTTTTTAAATATTCCCTAACCTGATCCGCCTCCACTGAGGCTAAGTCTTCCTTGGTCTAGACTTTCCCGCTGGTCTTGGGGGCCTGGGACTCTTGAAGACTGATCTTACCAGTAAAGACCGAGGTGAAGAAGGCATTGAGTACCTTGGCCTTTTCTATGTCCTTTGCCACAGATGCCCCTGCTCCTTTTAGTGGTGAACGCACACTTTCCCTAATCTTCCTTTTGCTGCTGATGTACCTGTAGAAGCTCTTCATTTTAGCTTTCATGTCCCTTGCCAGATTCAGTTCCAGGTGGGCTTTGGCTTTCCTAACTCTATCTGTACATGCTTGGGCAGTTTCTCAAAGTATTCCTGAGTCATCTGTCCACCGTCTTTTTGCTTCTTTTTTAATGTTTTATTTTTATCAGGAGCTCCCTGTTAATCAAAGCTGGTATCCTGCCACCATTGCTTGAGTTCATGTATATGGGGATAGACCATTCGTGAGCTTGGAGGAGGTGTTCCTTGAAAATCAACAACAATGATGGACCCTCCCCAAACCAGTGAAAAGCCCATCAATACCCAGGGTAGAAATGGGGCTTCAAAAATGGGAACACCATAAAAGTTCATATGGACTTAGGGATTCCTGCAGCTCCATTACACTAGTACTATCATGAATGCTTGGCCCAAGAAAACCACTGGTGCAGGTGAGCTTGGGTCTTTGTCTTGGTGGGGAGTTGGAGAAGATCCAGGTGATCTCTCTCCTCACCTCTCTTGCTGCACAGTCTGCAGGGCTCCTCCTGTGGCTCCCTTGCTTCACGACCTGTGGGCAGGGAGCCCATCTCCCTGGCCCAGCCTATCTGAGGTCCTCAGGCATCCCTGCAGCCCATCCTGGAAAGCCACATCCTCCCTTGCGAGCTCTGGCCGAGGCCTCTGAGGTGTGAGGGATAGCTGCTCCTGGTGGTGCTGGCTACCCCATCCGGCAGCATGTCACCACTGTTGCAGAGCCCATGTACATACACTGCCCTCAGCACAGTGCCTGGTCCCTGCTGCGCACGCTGCTCCATCTGTGCTTGGGTCTGCAGGGACAGCCTGTACCTAGGGCTCTCCTTGGTAGGTGCAAGGCAGAAAGAGCACTCGACCCTCCCTGATCAGGATGCAGCTGGTAACAAAGCCCAAAGCACCTTTTGATCAGGAATAGCCAGCCGAGCTCGTTAGAGGCTGCCAGATCTTGTGAGAAGTCACAGCCTCCTGTTGCTATCCTTTCCTGGTGGCAGCAGGCACCCTGATGTTCCTCAGATAGTTCAGGTAATCAGTGGCCTACAGACTTTCAAAGATAGGTTTAATATTTTAGCCAACTCTATTTCCACTGGGTTCAGTCCTTTGCCATCCTTTAAAGCTTTGTAGGAGCCACGTCCTGCTTGAAGAATTCTTTCCTTGTGTTGCTAATAGATTCTAAATTGGGCAACAGGCTACGCTACCATCAGCTGGAATTTGATTAGCAATTGGATAAAAGACCATATGATGTGATTTTTAGTAACAGGAGGGGCTGCATGTGAGGGCTTGGGCAGACTCTCCCAACACCATAGCTCAGCTCCTGCCCCAGCTTTTATTTTAAAAAAACCCAATTCCTTAATCCAAATAGAAACTCAAATCTAAAAAAATTTTTTTAATTTTTTTTTTTTTTTTTTTTTTTTTTTTGCCTAAGCAGGAGATAAAGCTTGCTCCCTAGCTGAATTCTGCTCACTCTCCTAAGTTCATGTGAAATGCAGCTGGGAGCTGGCACCATTCTGGCACACACACTTATGGTGAATTATACCTACAGGAGGACTTGAGGGGAAGAGGCTCCTGTCTGGAAATCACAGGTGCTGCCAGTTTGAAGGGTTGTCTTGGGAAGAAACAAGGAGGCAAAGGTCACATCTCACCTTTCCTCTTATGTACCTCTGCCAGACCCCAGCGCTCTGGAACAGACTGGTACAAAAGGAAGAAGTGGAGAAGACTTGATTTCCCTTGACGTTTTGGTTTCAGTGGGACAGCACTGGGCAAAGCCATGGCAGATCTTGCTCACACTCTCATGGGAGCCTGAGGGACGTTAGGCAGATGGAGATAAGCAGCTGAGGCCTACAAAGTGCCAAATAGTTTAGATAATGCTGCTATGCATTGCCGCTGCTACGTAACCCTGACGATAGCTTTCGTTCTAAGGACATACATGAAGGTTAAATAAGCACCTTAACAAACTACATAAACAAATCTTTTGGACAAATATCTCAGCAAATATATGTTCATATCTGTATTTTTTCTATTCTCCCCTTTTATTCATCATGTGTTTTACTTTCATGGAATTTAAAAAAAGTCTACTAAATCTCTTACATTTCTGTTTAACTGAACTTTGTTCCAATTGCCCATGAACTAAATGGGAAAAGGAGCTGCATTTCTTTATTTTTTAAGTTAAATACAACTGTGAGCTGAAAAAAAACAAAACCAAGAAAGACATGAGGATGCACATGTCCAGCTTATTTGATCACAAGCAAAGTCCACCACCGTAGCTTTGCTGATTCATTTCCTCCGAGATTTTCCTGACTAAAATAATATTTGGGTATCAATGACACACACAAGGGTAGCTTGGCACCGAGCATGAAGGGCAGCAGAAAGGACAATTTTAAGCCAACTTCATGCTCTCAGATGCTTTGGAGCTCCAACCTATGCCCAGCTACAACTGTCCCCGAAGGGATTCAAACAGCCAAGAATAGCCAAAGCCACCGTCGGGCTCCAAAACATTCTCTCTGCTGGCGACTGACCTCCTCTGCCGGAGGAGGGTAGAAGTGCCCTAAGGCATCCCAGGCACTGGACTCCGACACTTGCATCCACATGCTCCAGCAACACCACCTCATTGTCCCTGTGAAACCCAGCTCATTGTTGGGGTAGGATGGGAAGATTGTCAGGGAGCATGTCCAGGATTACACCTTCTTTCAGGTGTACAAAAAACCTTGCTGTACAAAACACCTTGCCATATAAAACTGGCCCTATGGATCCATGCTGGTTGCAAAAGGCAGCTTCCCTGGGTGCGAGCTGCTTGCTTGGTGGCCTGGGACCAGGCTTAGCATCCCTCCCTACCTTACTACGTTCCCCATGGTGGTAACAGGCGTCCAACCCATCCCAGGGAAAGAGAGATGAGAACACATTTTTCTGTTGCTGGATCCATTACACATTCAGTGCAGGCAATTAACATTCAGGAGTAATCTTACTTTTTAGGATTAACCCATTCTTCGGTCCTGATTCTTGTGCACAGCCACACAGCACTAATAAGTATTATTTCTGGCTATTCCTTCTCGTTTATGGAGACCTAAATAAGACTTGATTTCATGAGTTCATATCCCAAGCTGACAGGAATGAAGATTATTTTTATTGAGTTTTGATTTGACACTATGATGCAGGGTATCTTCTGTGTGAAATTCAGTTTTCTTCTTGCACTGTCTGTCCCTCAGTATTTTCTAACAAGATTTGAAATTTCTTTCCCTACTTTAGTATGAGAATGCACAGGTTAAAGACAAATAAGAATTGTCTGAACTGTTTAAAATAAATGATGTGAACCTAGCTACTTTTCCCTTATTCGTGTGACTAGCCATTCATATCAGTAGGGCTTTGCTTGCATGGGTGAATGTCGCTCATGTGAATAAGCATGGCACAATCCCCTGCTATAAGTGGCAGCAGGGAAATCCAGCATCTATTTGGATACGGGTTTCTGTGCTTAGCAAGAGCTGATTTCATTGCACAGCAAACAGACAGGCATGCATGGCAGCACGATCCCTTTCCGCATTTCCAAGAGAGAAAACAACTAAGTCAACCTCACGTGCGCTAAACGGAAAGACCAAAGGCCACCAGCCTCCTAAGCCACGTCTGCTTTTGTGGCAAACCTCCTGTGAAGGGCACACATTCACTCGTTACCTTGTGGACTCCTGCTTGTAGATGTCGATGATGTTCTCCACCAGCAGGTTCCTCTGCAGCCCGTAGACACCGTGCCGGTCAAGGACCACTTCGTGCCTGCAGGAGGGACAGCGAAAGCGGCCTCCCGACGCCATGGTTGTGCCTCCCCTCGTCGGCAGGTAGGGGTTGGAGGCCTGCTCTTGCCAAGCAGCACAAGGAGAGGTGAGTAAGGCCACGCAGACCCATGAAAACCTCTTTCAAAAGCACCGGGGCAAAAACAAGCTTGCAGGAAACTGTTTGTCAATATGCTCAAGGAGAGGGTAGCTCCAAAACCCACCCCCAGGAAAGCACCCGGCGACTGCAGGGTGAGGGGCCGGTTCCTCAGCTCACACACGCGGCCGTGTCCCCGCAGCCAACAGGTGACACTTTAATCTGCTGCGAGCTCAGCCCTGGCCCCTGGGGACACTCAACTTCTGCTTTAAATCACTCCCCTGCCCCGTCTTGCCGACTTTTAAAAGCAATCAACCAAAACATGTGAAAAATCTGCTTTTCCATTCATTTCAGCCAGTGCTGCTTGGGAAGCAGAGCTTTCTGTGGGAAGAAACCTACCTGGAAAATGTCGCTGGCGCATTTCCGGCAGAGGTTGTGCTGGCAGGGCAGGATGACCACAGGCTTGGTGAACATCTCCAAGCAGATGGGGCAAATCAGCTGTTTCTCCAGGTTATCCATGGTTTGCTGCTCTTTGGAGAAGGACTTGTAGTTCAGGGAGGTGCTCATCCCTAGCTTTTCCAGGGGCATACGCTCAGGATCACGGCCTCGAGGAGGGGTTTCAGGGTTAATTTCCCTTGAAATAAGTCCAAGGCTGTGCTGTGATCAGAGGCTCTCTGGGTTGCTCTGGCTGGAGGACATTGTTTAAACGAGGGGCCGCAGGGAGCTGGGGCTGTTTTTAGCAGCGCAGCGTCACAAGATGCCACCCTGCTGTGCCCATATAAGCGCGTGAGAGGAGGACAGGCTGGGACAGGTGATGGCTGGCGGGGGGACGGGGGGGCGGCCGGCAGGGCCCTGGCTCTCCTCATTCGCACATGATGGCCTTCACCCCTTGAGGAGGAGGGCGAGTGATAAGCAAACACAACCCGCTCCCCCCCTTATCTCTGCACGGCTGTGGAGAGCGTAGGGCTGCCCCAGTCTGCCCAGCCACACGCCTCAGCCTAACAAACACTCCGGTTTGAGCAAGCAGCCATGGCCGTGAGATGCAGGGTGTAATTTTGCCTGTGTGTTTCAGCAGGCTCCAGGATCTTGCCTTTCCGAGGTGTGAAGCACATGTGGTTGCTGGAGAAGACAATAGGAGTGATGGCTGCATCGGAGCTCAGACACTTCAGGGTGTAAATATGTCACCACCTTGAGAACCAGTTAAAAAAAATTGCCTGCATATAACTGTGCTTAAGTTTCTTCCGGTATGATTTTTTTTTAGGAGCTGTAACATAAGAATCCAAGACGACTATTTAAGCCATTAACTCCACAGCGACTTAAATATGCAGCAAAAACATTATTTGAATTTCCTGACGAGAAAGAGATAGAAGAAATACAGTATGAAAAGCTTCCATTTGTACTGCTAGAGAATAGGTGCTAATTGTATATACTCTCTCTCTGCATAGTTTAATTCAAATATATTTTAGTTTTGGGCACTGCTGTGTTTATATCTGTTTATTAGACACTGATATCCCTCTCAGCTTGGCACATGTTCCAGAGTTATTTTTAAAATGACAATTTCCCAGATAATTTGTGGCATGTGATGCCTGATCTTAAGGGAAAGCCATCTGTGCTTCTACTTGCCAATAATTTATCACACAACTGTACAAGCAATAAATATCTCATCCTCAAATTTAAGCCAAAGTCCCTGTGTGTACTGTATAAAATCACTTTGCCACTGTACTGTACATGTAATCAGAATGTTGTCTTCTCTTTTAATCAATAACTCTAATACTTTCTCTGTTAAGTGTCTTGTAGAAAGCGCTCATGTTTATTCCACATCATGACTGTATAGGGCTTGCATCTGAAATATGCTGTAGAGCGGCTGAGCGAGTCCCCTCCGCGTCCAGGGGCAGAGCCCAACTCCAAAGCAGGGCCCTTTATCTGCTTGCAACACCAGTCTGGAAACTGCACTTCAGGGAAATAAAAAAGTGAAGCTTTTCATTGATTTCCACATGAAAATGAGTACTATTCTCTGCACGCAATGGCAATGAATCATATTAAATTAAATGTATTATTGACTATTTTAATTTCAATGCCTCGAATACTTTTTAAGTGTTTGGGTGAAATCCTGTACCCATTTGCAGCCCACCGAGCTGGAATTTCCCCTATGTAAACATACACATTTGTCAGCAGTCACATAAAACCAAATAGATTTTTCTGAAGTCTTGCATTCATGGGAAATTTGTGCTAGCTTAGTTAAACCCGTTTGAAATCACACCTTTGCTTTGACTGCCTGGTGCAGACAAGAGCCTGGAGCCGAGCAGGAGAAGCTGCTCCAGCAGCTGAGCTGTGGACAGCTGGTGCTTTAGCAGGGCTGGCGGGGAGTCTTTCCTGGCAGCAGCGAGAAGATATTTCTCTTCTTCCCCTCCCCTCCGTGGCTGGGTCAGAGGTGACCTTCCTGTCTGGAGGAATTTGAATGCCTCATTCCTACCCTCTTAACTCTGAGTCAGCTGCCCCTTGGGCATCAAGACCTGCTTATAAGGGGCTTTGAATGAGACGAGGAAAGCCACCTTTGCCTGGCGAGGCAGGCACTTCCACTTCACTGCACAGGGAGAAACAGAGAAATTCTGGGAGGAAAAGCTGAAGGTTAGAAATGCCAGTGCACAGAAGCACCTGCATATGGTGATCTAGGGAAGGAGGTGTTCACAGCATGGAAAAAAGCCGGGGGATCGTGCCGCTGTGCCAGCCCTTTGGACGATGAACTGAGGCACCTCTCAGGGTGTAACATGCCTCTGGGATGTAATTCTGGTAAATTTATACTTACCTGTGGTAGCCCACAAAAGCCTCCTGTTAATAGGCTAGGTGTGACACCTGATGCATCTGCAGAGGACATCTGATGGCAACAAGGTGAGGTCTCAAGAGTCTGCTGCAGGTTTTCCCCTTTCTGTTTGCTGAAGCACGCTAACACGGAACAGATAATAAACAGCACAGCCACAAAAAGAAGCTGACAAAACAAAGATAAACCCGTCTTCTGCAGCCGGGCCTAAGCTGAAATATTTTTCTGGCAGGAATATGTAGTTCAGAGACATGAAAAATTAGTACAGGTTTTTCTGTCAAAGTATTATGAACCACAGCAGTGATTGCTAGGTAAAGAAACGCAGAGGCTTAGCCGTGCTTGCAAAGGCTGGATGAAAAGTGCCAGGAAAGCCACACGTTGTATGACCACACTGCAACAAGGAGGAAGAGAAGAGCAACGCTCAAGAGGCTGTGGAGCCATGGGGCGGTCCTCAGCAGGTCTTCAGCAGGGATTGCTTGGGCTGGACTTCGAAGGAGTCGCACTGAGAAAGCCCGGCACCCTCCTGTCTCTCCCTGGCAGTGCTGTCACCCTTCTCTTCCTCGCCTTCCACACCCGCAAGGGAAGACCACCAACACGCACAGCTGTCCACCTCCAAAGAGTCACCAAGCCAAGCCTCACAGGGGGACTAACAGACGGCAAGAGGACCTGCTTTAACCCCAGTCCTGGACAGAAAGTCTGGGTGTCTGCCAGACATCACCAAGAAGAAAATATCATTTTTTAATGATATTTTTTGCAGTGTTACTTGCCCGGGAACGTTACCTGGCTTTGTTGACACAACCAGAACATTAGGTCCTAGAGATATGCTTGGTTTTACAGACGTTGCTGCAAACTCCTCTATTTTTGCAGCCGAATAGCAGCTTGCAGGCTGTCTGTGGACTGACGGCCAGGAGAGCCTGGGAGGCTGGCTGCAAAGCAGTGGGTTTAGGAGAGGGATTTGGAGGAGGAAAGAGAGGTTGAGTGATGTCCAGGTTCAGGTTTCAATGCCATAATGACATCCCTGGGTTTTGCATTCACAGAATTCCCCTCTGCAACCTCTTGTACCAGTGCTGTGAAGCGCTCATGTGTCGGTCACAGAAAATCTGCCCTGTGGCTCTCGCATGGCTGGAAAACAAAGAGAAAAAGCATATTTTTACCAGAGGATAACTCCCATGTGACTTACCTCCCCACGGAGCCCAGCAGAGACAAAGCCCGCTCCGCAAGCACCAGGCTCCTTGCCCAGGCGTCCTCACCCGGACCTGGTGGGTGGTGTGGAGCATCCCGGTTCGCGGGGCGACGGTGCCCTGGCCTGCCGCCACCCCACCTCCCGCCTGTCCTCGGGGACGAGCGAGCACCCCGACACCCAGCCCAGGGGTGGGCAGACCCCTCCACCGGCAGCCACCTAAAGCAGGTGGGCAGCTGCCCGTCGTCCCCTGGGCAGGGAACGACACCCATGCCCACCCCGCTGCCTCCGGCAGCTCCCCACACTCCCGAGGCCGGCAGGGCTTGCCTGAGGACTTTGCTTGACAGCTCAGCTGCTGGAAGAGGACGGGGCTGGTGCGTGCCCTTGCGGGCCAAGAGAGGGGAGCAGCCACCGTCGCTGGGACCCCCAGGCCCACCTGCCTGTCTCCCCCCAGCTTTGCCCTGCCTTGCTCACCTCTGGTGAGAAGTCCTGGCTCCCCAAGCAATACAACATCCTAACACAAATGAGGCTGCTGCCTCCATTTCGGCCCACCTGAATGTGAGATTTAGAGTAAAATGACAATGCAGCCCTCCCCTCTCCCCATCCTGCTAACTCTGCTTGGTTTTTGGACTTGAAAATATTTGCATTTGTAGACAAGCATCCCTCGGGGAGGTAGGAGGGAGGCTCTCCATCCATCTCACCTTTCATCTGTGCCCATTTACCCTGCAGTGAGCAGTCTCTCAGCAGCGGATGGTGAGCACCAGCATTTCCACCTACAGCCAGCATGTTGCAGAAACTCAAATTTCACTTACATTTGCTACAACTTACTAAGCCAATGAGCCAGCTATAAGATGAAGCCCTCCTACCTATACAAGTGCAAACTGCAAGCGGTATCTTGCATTTCGTGATTTTATTGTGATCGCTGAACATCCCACGATAAATACTGAAACTACCCTTGTATGCGACTCAATTTATGCAGCCAAAAAGAGCCTTTGCAACAGACAAGTGCTTTCAAAAACAGTTGCCTTTTGAGACTGACAGTTTTCCACTCAACATATATATTTGTCTTTGTGTACCTCATACATGATGATAGGCCATATGTGGTCAGTATTTGGAGACCTTCTAAAAAGAATCTGAGAGGCGGTTTCAGATCTCCAGGAAAACAAGGGCCAGCACAGGACATAACAACATCTTTCAAAATTTCCTTTTGCACATACAAAATCAAAGCAGCAGGGGCAAGCTCAAAGCATTTCTAAGGGTGAGTCCCTGGGAGCACATCAAATGTGCAGGAGCACAGGATTTCAAGGACAAGCTACAAAGATCAGTCAGAGGGATGATGTCTGCCCTTTTCTTTCGAGTAGGGGATGGACACTGACCCAAGCTGAATTGTGCTTGAAAGCAGCCTTCTCTGGGCTTAACCATGCTCAAGGAGCTTCCACAGTTTGCAGCAGACAGACAGAAACATAGAATAAAAGGGCAGATGAACTAGATTATAATTTCTGTTCCAGATTCATCAGCAGTACCAACATAAATTATAGTGGACAAACCTCAGAAATTTGGATTAAAAGACCCTGAAACAGGGAGACTCCGTGGACGAACTCCATCAGGGAGTCACCTCTCCTTGCCGTGGCTCTGCCACTGGCGGGACACGAAGCCATGGGGTCGCTGCTCCCAGCTGCCTGCCTGGGAGAAGG